TAACATGGAATTCCCTTTATTCCAGGCACTAGCACATTGGAACTTTATAGTCAGAAATGTTGTTTATACATTTAATCCCATCTTTCCCATATTCTTTGAGATTGTGCCTTCAGCTCATCTTGCATAAATTGTTTTATTCCCAAGCTGTTAATGCTTTCAGATATTTGTGACATAAAATTTGATTGAACCTGAATTTGATTGTACTGATTTGGGTAACCCATAACTCGCTTTAAAAAAAAATCTGCTTTTCCACTACCATTTTGCTGTATTTTTCTCTAAAGGCACTGCTTGAAGTATCCATAATTGTTAAAAGGTACTGATCCCATTCCTAGCTCTAGGTAAAGGTCCTACAAAATCTATTCCGATTTAGACCTTGCTCAACAATTATTTGAAAGCTGGTATCAGAATTAAAATGGCTGGGGTTTCTCCACTACCTACCATGTTGGACATGTCTGACAAAACCTGACCACAACTTGATTTAATCCTGGCCAATAAAAATATTCTAATATTTTACCCTGTATTTTCCCAATGCCCAAGTGACCTACCATTGGAATTTTGAGTCACTTGTAAACTGTCATCTATTGACTACAGCCCCTTCCTAATTGGCTGGCGTTTGAGGTTGTCTCCATGTCTTCATTGCTTTTTTCTTATTAAATAGTAACACTAAGATATTGGTTCTGACTTCATAATGAATAACCTATTTGGTGTAACTCAGTTGAGGATCATTGTTGCATTTCACTTTAAAAGGGCATGCTCTTTACTACAACCCTCTTAATTTAAATTTTCAAAACTGGTATCGGATAACTGAATATGCAAGTCACCTTGTTCGAATAGATGACTCTTCTTTCTGTCTAATTCCGAGAGTCTGAGATCCAGTCACAACACAGTCAAGCCATAATTCGGAATATTCCTCCTACAGCATTGCCATTAACTTTACTCCAGCAGGTTGCTCTACCACCCTTGGTGAGGCCAATATTTTTGAATTAACCAGGTTGTTTACCAAGATAAATCCCTTCAGAAGGAATTGATATTGTTTCACCACTCTGATTACTGCTTTTCCTCTAATCTAACTTTACACAATGGAACTGGTTTGTAAATTCCATGTATATATTCGACTGTTGTTATTTTCTCCTCCTTCTATTTCTCTGGAAGACTGATTGTATCATCAGCCATCATCGGTGACTAACATCTCCAGTGCCCATCAATATCTTTATTAGTTTAGCTTCTTCAAATGAAGAATAAGAAAATACCTTTTTTTTTGAAATCAAGTATTCAAAACTTCAGTGGAATTGATTCTGTCTTTATTAATAGCTGAGGAATTTTCTTGTTTGCCCTGAGTTGTCACCTCTATTTCTAACAGATTTTAAGGAACAATTTCCCTCTGTACTATTGCTACAATTTTAATAACTATTTTGTTTCCTGATGCCTTGTTTCTTGTGAATTTCTTAGATGTTTCTACTGTAGCCATCGTTTTTCAAGCCATTAGCTTTTGATGCAGTCTTATTACAATGGCAGAATGTTACTTCTTGATATCCCTCTTAGGTTTTAGTGTCTGTGCTTTTATTGTGATGTCCTTCTATTTGTGCCCTAACACACATACTACTTCCATCCACAGATGTTGTATTTCTCCAACTTTCTTTCGGATTTCTAATGACTATCTCTCCACATGTAACTCTGTGTTTGAGATATTAATGGTACCAGCAGATGCATTGAGCACTTCAGACTCACAATAGCTTCCTTTTTATTTCTAACCTCAATATACTTGCTAACTTTTTTTTAGTCTTAGTCATAGACTTCAAATAATCCTGCAGTGTCTTCTGCTCCCAGAAAAGACTTAGCAACACTTAACCATTTTGAAAGTCTAATCCTTGCAATTAACATCACCACAATATTCCTTTTTTATGTCCTAGTTAGAGTCATAGTCATACAGTACAGAAGAGGTTCCATCAAGTCTGTGTGGACCATCTAATGCCTAGTAACCCCATGTACCCTTTCATTTAAAAGATTCACAATCCCTTCTAAATTCTGATCCTGCAAGTCCTTTAAGATCTCAGCTAATGGTCATATTGGACAAGTTATATCCCAGAACGAAAAGG